GAAATACTCATGTCCATAGGTTTCAATCTTTCTGAACTAATATAAACATCTTTAAATTCTACCTTCAACCACCTTTTTGAAGTACCATCATGTACTGTTCTCCAATCTATTTGCAAGTGGTTTCTGGGGAAATTTTGTGTGTTGTGTGTGTCATCAAAGGACGGAAAAAAAAAAAAAGACAAAAGGATAAAGCAAAAAAGGCCAAATGGCAGCACCTGGCTATTCTGGGCAAGGGGCAGGGTAATCCTTCTATGTCCTCACAAGTTCTCTTCAATCGCACTGTCCTGCACAGTCCCCCAGAACAGAGCAGGTACGTACGCAGATCACCTCTCCAAAGAAAAGCTGGCAAGAAGAGGAAGGAAAGAAATCTACAAATACAGGCCAATCCCCAAAAGCAAGATCACACAAAATAAATTGCGACCTTCTGTATGTAGCATTTTGACAGCTTTTTAAAAATAAAATACAAGAGTATCACAATCGGACAGCTGGCTTTCCTGCTGGGACATTCTGTGCTTCTGCCATTTCCTGTGTGGCCAACAGAACAAAAGACTGTTTACTTAATTTGCTGCCAAATTCTTAAAATTTTCATTACCTTGATCGGAAAAAAAAGCTGCCAAATTCACTATTTGCGTTCACATTTTCAAATAGCACTCTAGACAGTTATTTCAAATAGACCAATTTTTAACCTAAAAGTACAGTGATATGTACTGAGGCACGATCGTGCGCTGCTCACTGTACACGTATTACAGCATTTCATCTTCACAACAAACCCAGAAGGAGGTAATCTTCCTCGTGCTGATGAGGAATCTGCAGCCAGAGAACAAGAAGACAGGAGACGAAGAGAAAGATGCAAACAGCACGAGGGCGGCCATTTTCCCTCCACTGAAGGCCAGCATCCGACCAAGGAACTTCCCACGGCTCATGCTTCTTCCATGCTTTTCCCTTGAGTCTCCACCACGAGAACGGCGGTAGGTAGCCACAGCTGCACACTAAACACATCTGTTTTCTGCATTTACTCTCAGAGCGACTTGCTGGATTATGTAGTCAGTTTAAAACGCATGACTTAACAAGGTGCTCCTTTGGCTTCTCAAAATTAAACGTATAGAAGTAACAGTCCAAGAAAGGCGCACAGGAGAGAAAAAAAATCCATCAAATCCAACTCTACATGGACTATTCATATCAACAACACTCAGAGACACACGTAACGGCACAAACCCTGCTGCTAACTCAAAACACTGTAAATAATATTAATTTGTTCCTGCTGCAATCTTGCCTATCAAATATAAAAAAATGACAGGTGGCCTTTCATAAACATACATTACTGATCTTGTGGATACACATTCAGGATACTTCAAAAAGCTTGTGGAAAAGAGTTAAAAAGATACAATTATTTTGACACAAAACAATTCAAAATTCATGCATATGAACTATCTCCAAAATACTTCAAAAGGTTCTGGAAAACAGTTAAAAAGATCTCCAAAATTCAGAAAAAAGGCATATTAGAAAAAGTCATGCATGAGTTTCAAAAGTTTTTTTGCACCAAAACCTTATGTTTCAACTGTCTTCCATGAACTTCTTGAAGTACCCTCTCATTTTTTTTTTAAAAGATTTATTTTTATTGGAAAGGCGGATATACAGAAAGGAGAGACAAAGAGGAAGATCTTCCATCTGATGATTCACTCCCCAAGAGACCACAACGGCCAATGCTATGCCGATCCGAAGCCAGGATCCAGGAACTTCTTCCGGGTCTCCCACGCGGGTGCAGGGTCCCAAAGCTTTGGGCCATCCTCGACTGCTTTCCCAGGCCACAGGCAGGGAGCTGGAAGGGAAGCGGGGCTGTCGGGATTAGGACTGGCTCCCGTATGGGATCCCGGGCGTGCAAGGTGAGGACCTTAACCACTGCGCCACTGCGCCGGGCCCGAAGTACCCTAGCATTTTAACTGTGGTCGCTTAGTGTAGCACAAGTTCTTGAATGGGAGGTGCTATTCACAGTAATGACCCTGTATCCTGTCTGAAGACACTAAAATGCAGAGACCACTTCCTAAACGCAAGGGGAACTTTTCATCAAGATACGATAGTCATAGCTGGTTAACACGTTAAATGAAATTCTCTCTAGCAAGCTTTATAAATAAGATATTTAAAGATGCTCTAAGTATTCTGAGTCCAGGGCTCAGAGTAAAACGATATGGGAATATTTGCCAAAACCAGAACACATTTACTAAATAAATAATGTAAACATACAAATAACATTCAATATCAGTACAATGTTCAAGTTATTACTCCCAACATGTCCAACTCCTGTCAGCCCCTCGCCAGGGGTCAGGTTCACTCCCGGGGACTGAAAATGACTTCAGGATTGGCGTCAACAGAGGGCGTCCTGGAGCACGCACGCCACAGCCAACAGCAGCAGAGAGCGACCTGGTTACAGATGCCCCTTCAGCAGTTAGGCACAGAAATCAAAGTCAAACGCCAGCTGATGTAGCAACTCTGCAACTGACAACTGTATTGTCTTACAAAGCTCCCACTCGCCAAGAAAAACTAAGCGGGGCTGGGGGTGCAAGTTTCAGACATAACGAGTAAGTCCAAGATGCTCAACATGCTCTTGCAGGAGCTATTGGAATGAAGTTTTAATATAAACACGATGGTTAGTTAATGTAAGAATTAAAAAAATTTTTTTTCTTCAAAGTGCTAGTTTGGCAGATAACTATGTTTCACAGAAAATTCCTTTTTTTCCCTTCCTATTTACTATAAAATTAGCATCTATTTCTGAGAAAGACTTGGTATAAATATATATATATAATACACACACACACACACATATATATATATATATTTAGAAAAAAAGCAATAATTCCAGGATATTTTTTGAAAGGTGTTTACCAGCTGTCTCTTTCCTCCACTGCAGAGCTGTATACAGTTAGATGTGTCTACAGTTCAACACACTGTGTGGAGATGGCTGCTGTGTCACAGGAGCCTGCAGCTCAAGGAAAAGAATGAGACAAAGGGGCAGGCATCTGGCCTGCTAAGAGGACCCTGACCGCTATCAGACTCTCTGCTCCGAGAAGCAACAGCAGCGGCTCAAGGTACAGGAGATCTGCACCGAAGCCCTCGCTCTGGGCTTTGGCTCCCAAGTTCATGGCTGAGGGAATCCCACGAGGGATGGAGCAACTCGGAGCATCCACGCTCTGTCTCTGTCTCTCTGCTTCTCAAGTAAAAATGACACTGGACACTGATTAACACAGTATGCTTAAAAACCAAGGCCAAGGGCCGGGCACGATGGCACAGTGGTTAAGGTCCTCGCCTTGCACGCCCAGGATTCCATATGGGCACCGGTTCTAATCCCGACAGCCCCGCTTCCCTTCCAGCTCCCTGCCTGTGGCCCAGGAAAGCAGTTGAGGACAGCCCAAGGCTTTGGGACCCTGCACCCGCGTGGGAGACCCGAAAGAAGTTCCTGGATCCTGGCTTCGGATCGGCATAGCATTGGCTGTTGTGGTCTCTTGGGGAGTGAATCATCGGACGGAAGATCTTCCTCTCTCTCTCCTCTCGGTATATCCGCCTTTCCAATAAAAATAAATAAAATAAATCTTAAAAACCAAGGGCAAAAGACAAGGGCCATGATATACTCAGACACCGGTGACTGGGCTCCCAACCGAAGATACCAAGCACACCTAAGCTCAATCCACATAACATAGTCCATCAATATTCTAAGCTACCATCAGCAGACACAGCAAAGATTCAGATCAAAGTATGGGTCCTACGGATATTTTCACTACAAAACCTTTAATTTATATTTTGAATAAAATTTTAGCAAAGTTTATTCTTAGTTTACAAGTGTATGAATGAAGACCTAAAACTTCGTTTCGCCAACCAACCAACTAGCAAAATGAGCTGTTCTTAATCCACCACTGTAACAGCCACGTTGCTGCCACTCCTCTTCCTTGCTCAAGCCCACGTGGCACTGATCTGGTAGGGACTAAGAGCTGGATATGATTTGATTCTGCTGCACGTATTTGTGTCTGTTTTCTAAATTATCAGCAGTTGGTGTACTGAAAAAGCGTATTACAGTTTCTCTGCTTGCTTCCTCCAGTAATGACTCAAGTTACATCATCGCGGAGTACGATGCTGGCAAAGGCCAGGACAACTGTTACAAGGGTTCACTGCGCGCGAGCTAAATCTCAGTTCATGCAGCTAAGTAAGACCATACAGAAAGCACGGGAGGGAAGCATTCAATAGGATGCTTCTTCATAAGACCGCCTTCTATAATAGCAATTAATTTGTAGAAACTTTCATTCTGAAGTACTAAAACTTCTCCAAGCTACCGTGGAGAGCCACAGCTCCCGTGGCCCGACAGGAAACGATCCCAAGTGGGCGCTGCTCACAGCTGGGGGAGAAGCGCACGCTGGGGGAGAAGCACACGCTGGGGGAGAAGCACACGCTGACCGGGAGAGCATTAAGATCAGACCCTCGAGATCTCAACTGCAGTTCAGTAAAAGAGAAACTTGCCCTGATACAGACAGGTGCTTGGCCCAGGGCTGCCTAATGCGCACACACTCTGTCCGCCAGTCCCACTCCGCTCACTTGCTACCTGAATCTAGGCTTGTGCACAAGATACTTGCTCGGTGTAAAGGAGCACTTTATTTTTAAAACAATCTTGGTGATTCCAGGGGGCTTCATTTTAGTTACCACAAACTTACTCATCAACATTTGGACATCTTATTTTATCTGTAAAAAGCAGATAAAACTGAGAAACACTGAACTTTGGGACTGTAGTACTGTTCTTCTTTGGAAAAGAAGAAAAACAAGACTTTGAAACAACTGAAAATGAAATGGGTTCCAGCTGGAAGTAGCATTTAAATGCTGACTTCAGATGGATAGAAATTGGTCTACATGCTTGTAACAGAAGCAATTTTAATTTTCCTTCATCAAACACGTGGTCTGGAAATGAGGACAGAGTCTAAGTGAAACATTCAAAGAGGCACGCGTAAATCTCATCAACTTACCCCGCCTGACAACTTAATCACCCTGACCTTGGAGCTGACATGCGGCCCGTCTCCGCTGCCACTGTTGGCCCGCTGCATCACAGTCCTTTTGACGCCGGGTTTTGTGTCTGTGGGCTGGCTCTGGACAGATGCCACTCGGGCAGTCTGGGAGGCAGCTGGGGGCTCCTCCGCATCTGCAGGTTTTACCTGCAGCACTTTGTGCAAGGGCTGCGCTGGACTCGGAGGTACTGTTCTGGTCTGGCGCAGATGTTTCAGCGGTTTCGTCTGCTGTCCTTGATACTGCGTGTTAGCACCGGATGGGACAAAACTGGATGTTTTGGGCTGAACATTTGAGACGGTGACATCTTGGCTTTTACCAAGCAGTCTGTTTTTCACATTCGGTCTGCACTGCGCGCCTGGATAGGGTAACAGTGGGTTCCCGTTGGTGGGCGAGGACGCCGCCGTCTGCTCCTCTGCTTCTGCCGGGGGCTGCGGACCGTAGAGCTGCTGCTGCTGCTGCTGCTGCTGCGCCAGCCGCTCCAGCAACTCCTTCTTCCTGGCACCAGCCTGCTGTTGCCGCCGTAATTCTTTCTGCTTCAAAATTTCTTCTCTTAGACGTTTCTGCTCTTCTATCTTTAAGCGATATAACCTTGTTTCTTCATCTTCATCAGGAAACTAACAGGAAAAGCAAATATGGTTAACTTTGCTGTACAAGGCCAGCTGACCATTCTAGTCTACTTCCACAAAACAGGAAAATACATTTTTCAAAATCCCTTTAACTCAGCAATGGAAAGAAGTCTTTGAAGATTTGCTTTAAAGAGTTTAAGTGTAATTATCAGGGGAGGAGAAAAATTACACGGCTTCAGCTAATTTGGAAACTCTTATCAGAACATTGGAAACGAAATAATATAAATTTCCACTCATTTACAAGTTTGAAACCAATTAAACTACTCATTTAAGATATCAAAATATGCTTCAAATGGAAACGGCAACAGCAGAGAGGCCCCGCTGTCACACGGGTTTTATCTGGCTCTTTCCTGACAAACCAACAAAAGGTGGGTGTAAATGACCTGAAAGGCACTGATTAGAACTATTGATTTTTCGTACAGAATTTTCAGCTTGATCTCAAACTCATTTGTCACAGAATAATTGGTTATAATGAACAGCACAAGTCAATCTCTCTGACCTTGAACTCATGCACCCTCCTCAGAATCAAAATGTTGCCAATTGCGGTATTGGAATATTAATGGTACATAAAGAATGCCTTTAATGTTCCAGCTCCAAACCATGCTGAAAGTCCATTAAAAAAAAATTGTTAAAAAAGACCAGTAACTTTTATAAAAAGCAGCAAAAAAAAAGTTTTGTAAATTTTAAGCATTGATGAAAATTTGTACAATTCTTTTAAAATCGTCCATGCATATTCATAGATACCTTTTTGACAAGCTTTATTTTACCTGTAATTCCACTATTTAAAAATACTGCCCACCCTGGATGAAAACGGTTCAGACAATCATGCAACCGGAGGGTTAGCTGACACCTGGCGGTGTCACACAGGCCTGGTTCATGACCTCGGAAGGTGTTCTGGGTTACCCGACCTCAAAACGTGGAAGGGATATCAAAGCCAACGCAAGAGTGACGCTAAGGACTGCACACAACGCGTGCAACGGCAGGAGGACAGCACACTCAAGGACGCACACACGCACACACGCACTCACAGGGCAGCAAAGACCCACTGCCTCAAACACAGGAATGATTGCTCGTCGTAAGGCTCTTTTGCCAAGCAAGTGATAAAAAGTTGTTCCAGAATAGAGAGAGAAATAATTTTTAGAAAGACCTGTGTCTGACTAAACTCTGAAATAGTGCATACTTAGCTGATGAAAATAAATACGTTTCTTCTTAAAAAAGCAGTTTAAGGGGTCAGCACCATGGAGTGGTAAGACTAAGCCTCTGCCTGTGGTACTAGCACCCCGTATAGATGCCAATAAAAGTCCTGGCTGCTGCATTTCCAGTGCAAGCTTGTTGCTTCTGGCCTGGGAACGGAGGGAGGATGGCCCAGGCCCTGGGCCCCTGCGTCCACGAGGAAGGCCTGCGAAAAGCTCCTTGCTCATTTGGGGAGTGACCCAGCGGATGTGAGACCTGCGTCTCCTCCTCTGCCTAAGTCTGCCTTTCAAGTAAAAAGAAAAATAAATCTTAACTCATATTTGTACTAAGTAGGTAAACATTTCAATTAAAAAAACGCTTTAAAAATTTTAATCTAGTTCCAATTTACACATAAAATTAAAAGCAAACAACAAATTAAGACATCAACCTTAAACAACAGTGACCTACAAGATTTATTTCATGCATAAGTATTTTTTCTTTTAAAGATTTATTTATTTTTATTGGAAGGTCAGCTTTACAGAGGAGAAACAAAGAAAAAGATCTTTTATCCAATGCTTCTCTTCAAGTGGCCACAACAGCCGGAGCTGAGCCCATCTGAAACCACAGCTTCTTCTGGGTCTCTCGTGCAGGAGCAGGGTCCCAATGCTTCAGGCCTTTCCCCACTGCTTTTCCAAGCCACAAGCAGGGACCTGGATGGGAAGCAGAGAAGCCACGACAAGAACCCACTATACGGGATCGGCGCATGAAAGGGGCTATGTACTAGGCCACTGTGCTGGGCCCCATAAAGTATCTTTACAAAATTTTGGGGGGGAAGGGGGTGACACAGTAGCCTAGCAGCTAAAGGTTCTTGCCTTGCACGTACCATGGTTCCCATATGGGCACCAGTTCTAATCCCAGCAGCGCCACTTCCCCTCCAGCTCCCTGCCTGTGGCCTGCAAAAGCAGTGGAGGACGACCCAAAGCCTTGGGACCCTGCACCCGCATGGGAGACCTGAAAGAGGCTCCATGCTCCTGGCTTCGGATCAGTACAGCTTTAGCTGTTGCAGCCACTTGGGGAGTGAATCAGCAGACAGAAGATCTTCTTCTCTGTCTCTCCTCTCTGTGTATCAAACTTTCCAATAAAAAAAAATTGTTTTAAAGACATTTTTTTTAAAGATGAAGAGATAGAGTGAGAAAGAGAAATATCTTCAGTAATGATGCATTCTCCAAATGGCTTTAAGGCCAGGTCAAAGTCAGGGTCAGGAACTCTCTCCAGGCCCCTCCCGTGGGCGGGAAGGGCCCAATCAGATTATCTTCCACTGCTTCCCGGGCATGTGAGCAGGAACTGGATCAGAAACAAAGCAGCTGGGATAAAAACCAGGGCTATAATATGGGTGACAACTTCACAAGCAGTGGCTAAGCCCGCTGTGACACAATGCTGTAGAGCAACTCTTCACAACGATTTTCTGGAAGAACTTTCTAGAAGTCTAACTGAATTACCTGGTCAGATGTGGCTGCTACTATGGCTTAAAGGTCACTTCCCTCATATTTGCTCTCCAAGTAATATTTCTTTGACTTAATTTGCTCAGCTACATCAGTTTACATGAGTTATGACCGAAGTACACAAAGGATGATAAAATTTTCAGCAAGGAACTCTTTGTAAACTGCCTCAATCCATCTTTAACAATTTAAAAACAAATTGACTTTAAAACCTTGGGGCTGGCGTAGTAGCTCAAGAGGCTAGTCATCTGTCTGTAAGTGCCAGGATCCCATATGGGCACCAATTCATGCCCTGGCCGGTCTACCTGCAACCAGGCTCTTTGCTCACGGCCTGCAAAAGCAGCAAGGAATGACCCGAGGTCTTGGACCCTGCACTCACGTGGGAGCCTGGGCAGAGGACTCCTCTGATAGGACCAGCTCTGGACTCCTCTGATGGGACCAGCTCAGCTCTGGCCATCGTGGCTGCTTGGGAAGTGAACCAACGGAGGGAGGGTCTTGTTCTCTGTCTCCTCCTCCCTCTGTAAAAATCTGCCCTTCAATTAAAAGTATACAAATCTTTAAATTAATAAATAAAGCAAAGGTCTAGTAGAAACTTGTTAAATGTTAACTAAATATTCTGACTCCATTACATTTCCTTTTTGGTACTGCTATTAAAAGTGTTACAATAATTCATTGGGAACTCAGTATTTTGACATTAACTGGCACTCTGAGAGCACAGTCAGAATGTCTCTGAGGACGCCCACATGCCATCTACAGTCCCAGGGTTCGAATCCCAGCACCGTTTCCAGTTTCCTGCTAATGTGCCCCCTGGGAAGCAGCAGGTGTTGTTGAGTTCAGTTGCCCACATGTGAGACTGGGACCGAGACCTAGCCTCCTGGCTTCGGGCAGGTGGCCTCATCAGACAGAAGGCATCATTCCAACAAAATAAAGATCGATTTTTTTTAAACAAAAATCATAAGCGTTAGTTTTTATAAAATCAAGGCATAACTTAAATTCTTTTCTAAAGAAACACTTCATTATATCATCATTGATATTAAGCTACTCTACTCTGCTCATCTACATAAATTCTGTCAATACTAACTTCACTTACACATACTTGTCCCTCACCATGTCCAGACATACACAAAGCCTTGTTTTATCTTCATTTAATAAACAGACTGAAGTTTGAGAGAAGTTGAAGACTTTAGCTGGCAACCATGATCTGCATTTCTTACCTATACCTCCAGCATCCTTCATCTATTTAAAAACTGCCCATGACAGAGTATTTCCAGGGTCAGTGGAATGCAGCCCACAGGCAAAACCTGGCCCATGTCATTCCACACATTTCACAAGAACATAGACACACTCATTCATGTCAAAACCATATCAGGAATTCCTTCATGCTAACATTGTTGTTGTTTTTTTAAGTAATCAAGACAATTTGAACTCTGAAGTCTACAATATCTACAGAATAATTGAGCCTTTCACAAACACTTTGCTAAGCTCAGTATATATTACCTGCACAAATATACAAAAACTACTACTGCAAAGCAATGAGGACACAGTACGAATCTTAAGAACATGACTGTTCAATTTCAAGGAGGATTCAGCTGAAAAGTAGAAAAGTTCTATAAATTCCTTGCTGGAAGAGGGGGAACTTGAGGGTGTAGTTTGTAGTCTTCCTGCAAGACTAACTCTTTAATAAGGAAAATGTCCTACCTCTGGCTCCGTCTTTGCTTCTTCTGTTGGCTGAGGCACGGGACTGACCGGCTTCACCTTCACTTCCGCCTTGGCCGGTGCGCTCCGGGCAGGTTTGGCCTGAGCCGCAGGAGTGGAGGAGCAGCGGCTGCTTGCTTCTATGACGTGTGAGGGAGCGATGGGTAGCTCGCGCAAATTGCTGTTCCGAGGAGCGGTGGGCTGCATTTGCTGCATTGGTCGTTTGGTGACATTCTGAGATGTTGCGTTCTATCACAAGAACAACAGCAACAACAACAAAAAAACTCATCACAGTTGGAAAGAAACATAGCAAAAGGAACATATAAAGACACAGTTATTAAATAAAAATGTAAGAAATCATTCTAATCAGAAAGTGACTTTCTGCTCTGGGGGCAGATACTTATCTCCTTGGTCAATTTCGCTTATGCCTAAATACTGCCTGATCACACCATAAGTACACATCTGGTGTGCCTACAGATAAGCCCTCAAGCCCTCCGTGTAGAAACCATCATTTCAGCTGGGGCTTCCATACACGAACTTACACCTTTAACAGAACAGCAGCAAGTCTATCTGCCAGCAGAAGTCAACTGGATTAGTGGTACTACCATTTTTACTTAGTCTTCAAAATTTAAAGTGAAAAAAACAAACAAACAAATCAAGCATTAAGTCAGTGTCCAAAACAAAACGATAAAAGTACCAGAATGCTTTGTGAAAGAGGAAATTCTTGGTCTTAAAAGAACCAGTAGTGCAGAAAGCAGACAGTTCCTAGTGTTCAGGGTCAGGTAACTAAGGGCGCATGCGCATGAAAGTTGTCTGCCATTGTTCAAACAAACGAAACCCAGGTTAAAAAGCACTCTTCTCAGATCCAGAAATCCTTTCTTATTGCCTAGACCATCTTCATCACATTACTTTAAGACACGAAGAGATGGCTTTTAGGAAAACGAAGTTCCAAAGTAGTTACCAAACATGCTCGAAGCTCAGGGGGCAGAATGGGACATTACTGACACCTCCTCAAAGCCTCATTTAGTAGATAATGAAATCGAAATTCGTGAACGTTCGAAATCTCAGCAGGAAACCATGACCTACATTTATTATTTATACCTACTACATTCTGTGCCTACATAAAAATTAGCGATACATGACATTATATTCAAAACAAGCTACATCTAAAAAAAAAATCAACAGTTAAAAAGTCTCAGAAACCCACACGAGTATCTGAAGAGTCAGCAGGATACGACTCACAGGTACAGGCTGCTCCTACAGCTGCGAGCACGAGCCACACTGTGCAAAACATGAGCCATGCTCGTGAGAAACCACACTACGAAAGCCTCAAGTTACTTAATGCAGCTCAAGGCGATGTCTGCCGGATCGAAACTCACTGGGGTCAGGGAGACGACCTTCAGTCACTCCTGTATTCCAAGCAAACACACAGCACCCAACAACAGATATTGAATTCAGTGTCCCTGAATCCATTCACTTGCAGCTCATTTACAGCCCAGAAGCAATCTACACATCTCAAAAAAGCAAGACACTGACAAAGGCAGAGTGACTCGGAACCCAAGGGTGCTTCCCCAAGCTATGTGTCAATTAATCATCACTACATACATGTCCAACAGGTGCAGGAACGTCAGATGTTAAAGTAAACATCTTAAGGCACAAATGCAATCAGTTTTTTCTACAGACAGGCAGGCAATCTCTTAAGTGTTTTTAAAACACATTCGCTTCCAAAAAAAAAATGTATTGCAGATGTTTTAATGATTTAAATCATACTGGAAAATAAGCTAGCTCAAAAATCACACCCCCACAAAGCTCCAAGTTAAGAGATACCCCTGGACTACAGGCTGATGTCACTGCGTGGTACCTACATGCCTGAGCCCCTGGCGCTGGGAGCACTGCATCCGGCTGTTGTTCGGCTGAGGCTGAGCAGTCTGCACGTGGGGCCTGAACTGTGCCTGCGCCATGGGCATCAGAGGAGGGGGAGGAACAGAGAGGTGATGGTGGTGCTGGGGCTGGTGCTGGGGCTGGTGCTGCGGAGGGGGCTGGTGCGGCGGCTGGTGCGGTGGCTGGAGCGGCGGCTGGTGCTGGTGGTGCTGCGGCTGCTGCTGCTGGTGCTGCGGCTGCTGCTGCTGAGGCTGGGGCTGGGGCTGATGTGGAGGGGGCAGCGGAGGATGCAAGGGCCCCTTTCGTTCCAAAAGAAACAGAAACAGGTTTGTAAGTGAGGAAGACACTTCTGTGCCAATTAACTTTGAAAACCGCAACAAAAATTCACTGAGTACAAATCAACATAAATCTACCTGCAGACAAGACAACGGTATATCAAATGCAGTAATAAGCGACAAACCACCACAATAAATGTAATATTCACATTAAACCCTTTCAATCCAGTAATTTCAAGAATGCATCCAAAGGAAATAACTGAAAGGGCCATTACACATCCTTAGTATAGCACAGCTAGTTCCCTGCGGCTCTGTAATACCGAAGTACTGAAATAACACACGTGCAGCAGGATCAGCAGCACAAAGGTACTCTTGTCCAAAATTTGTTAAGTGATACGATGGAAAGTAACTGACATAAAAGCATCCGGGTGATACATTAGCTGGCAGGAAGAAACTCACGGAGATGAGGATGGATACTTTAAAAGAGACTGAAAAAATGCTCACCCAAATATTAGCGGGATGATTTAATTTCCTTTTCTTATACCTGTCTACATTCTAATCTTTCTGAAATGCAGACGCATTTTTCTTTTGTCATAAAATGAAAAAAACTTTAAATATTATTCTCCTTTAACACTGCAAATAATAACCTAGTTTAGGTGCCTTTTTTAACTGACTCAAGTAGAGCATCAACAAAATTTTTTCATAGTGAGTTTAAGTTACAGAAAAACATACACTAATGTGACAGTAACTCAAGTCAACCCAGGAAACACAACTCCATCAGCAGAGGGCACTGATGCCTTCCAAAAAAAAAAAAGTGAACAGCAACTCACAATGTACTTCTACTGCAGAAACTTAATTCACCAGCGTACCCATAAAGCATTTAAGAAATACTGCAAAGATGAGAAAATGAGTGAATGAAACATGCCCCAATCTTACTAACAGCTCATCTTAGGAATTTTCCCAATTTCTCCAAGTACTAAGGAAATAAACAAGATTGTCGAAAAGGTCATCTTAAGCAGTACATTTAACATCAATGTCCTTATTCGTCAATCACAAGCTAACCAGAAATTAAATTTTTTTCTTTCATGAAACATGGTATCACACACTTCACCTGTCCAGTTTCACTCGTGTGCATACCTGCAGGTTGGGCTGGGCATGGGTGGGCAGGAACGGCTGTCCCGGGCCAGGGAGAAACGGCTGCCGAGGAGGAATGAAAGGTCTCGTGGTGGCTGCCCCTGGCTGGCTAAAGTGCAGGATGCCCACGGGCCCCGGAGGCTGCAGGGCTGGCCTGACGGGCCGCTCCCTCGGGAACACGGGCTGCTGTCCCTGCTGACTGAACGCTGGTGCTGGCTGAGTAAACGGTAGGGGACTCTGCGTGGGCACAGGGTGACTACTATTGAGAAGTGTGGGCGGAGGCGGCGGTGGTGGTGGACTTCGTTGCTCCAGAAACAGGTGACTCGGAAACCTCGGTTCACCTGAAACTGCAAAGTAACAACATTACCTTCAGATCAGAAGACCAGGCATTTCTTAGAAATAGTTTTACAGTCTCTCAACAGACAACAATCACAGTTGGCAGAAGCCCATGTTTGAAAGCAATGTAGATCTTCCCTTTTGTTTCCAGATCTCATCATCGGTCACTTTTCAAGCCAATTTTTTTAAAAAGACTGATTTGAAAGGCAAAGCAGCAAAGAAGGAGCGACAGACAGAAAGATGGCTTGAAGATTCCGGTAATATACAATTATAGCATTTCCAACAAAATGCACAATTCTGGAGCAAAAACCTGACATTCCAGTCACAACCTATCGGACACTACCTTCGATGAAAAGGCAAAGCTATAGCTTTCCAATGCTGCAGTCACTCTTTAAGTACCTCCCAGGAAGAAAGGGTCTCGGTCCTGGGGCGGGGGTGGTGCTCTCCACTGCTCCTGGAGAGGAAGCCGGGGCGGCTGGCTGAAGGTGTTGGGAACCGGCCCAGGTGTGTGCTGGGGAAACTCCGGAGGGCCCTAAAGAACAAGGGCAGGAAAAACGGGTCAAAGACAGCAACAGGCTCTTTAAATTTCATAGTGCATACATACTTGCAGATTTTCCCGTGAAAATATCAATAACTCATCTGCAGACAGTCCCTCCTTCACACACACAGCTGCGTATTACAAAATACATGACTGGGCCACAAAGCCAAAAACCAAAAGAATCCTAAACACTCAATGTTTAAATATTATTTCAATATTATTATACCACAAGAATATCATTTTTAAGCATACTGAAATCCATGTAATTACTGACCTGGTTTCCCATTAATCCAAAACACTAAATGTCTACTTTGAACATTCATGACATTTATCTTCTCAAAAATGCTATTCTTTGCTATGTATTTAACAGAGGGATAAGCCAAAGATATGAAGCTGCTTTATTAAAAAAATTCAATTTGTACCATAATAAAAATAGGCAATCTCTGACATGTCAGAAAAATGTGAACTGCTTAAGAAACCAAATTACTACTGCAAGAAAAATATTACACAGTTGGGTTCCTTTGAATTAAAAAAAGAAAAGAAAAACTTTAAATAATGCTTACAGATGAAGAGCTTTCAATGATATAATGTTACTAGTGCAACATTATAGAGACAAACTAAAACTACTTCATTTTCCAGTCGGTTCTTCAAGCACTCATGACGGTGTTTTAAAATACCATATTTACCTATGAAGTCGCATAAAGAAATTAGTGGTTAAACCACTGCTTGGAATTCCCACTTCTCTTATCACAGTGCCTGGTTCTAGGTCCTGCTCCAATTTCAACTCCAGTTTCCTAATAATGTGTACCCACTGAGGATCGAGCATTTGGAACCCTGCCGTCCTGGGCATTACACTGATTTATGGGTATCTGGTTTCAGGCCTGACCCATTACCAGCTGTCATAGGATATGCCCAACAAACTGCCCCTCTGCCTTTCAAATAAAATCAAACAACAAAAAATCTGTTTAACTGTTCTCTACTTCAAATAATAAAAGAAATGCTCACAATTATTTTCCCTGCTACACGAGGAAATATTTTATCATCATCAAAATACCATTCACTCAGAGAGGCTGAGAGGAGAACAGAGGTTATCGCAGGCTGGACAGAAAGGGAGATGGGAGGGGAAAGCTCATCTTGGGATGCTGCGTTGCAGGTGGAAGGACTGATCTAGTCCACAGCCGACTGCGGACACTGACATACTGAACTCAAACCACGCAGAGGAAAGGAATTCAGATGTATTGCCTCAAATAGATGAAAACTGTCTGAGACGACATACAGGCTTACCTCGATTCAGATATTATGCAATGTATATCAAAACATTCACAGGCTACTCTACAAATACGCAAAATTTCTATGTCAATTAGAAATAATTTTAATAGCGCTTCATTCTTTGGAACTTAGCTAATGTTTCTTAGCTTCTTATAAAACAGATTCTTCCTTATAAATTTAAAATTCTAATGCATTGTCATTTTATTGCTGACATGATTAGCAATTTCCTATAAAGTGGTATATCATCTTACATCAAGCCACATTTTCTTCTTTCGACCCTTTAAAAGCTTGCTCTACTGATGGCACCGCAAGGGCAACCCAAGTGAACACGAGTATAAACACCTGACGTTCTATCAAATGCTAATGACATGGTTAAAAACAAATATGGTGTAAGGAAAAACACACAAAAGCTATATTTACTGAAGTATGTGAAACAAAAAAGCCCTAAAAGCTTAAGTTTTGCAACTTCTGCTTACTACTTTAGGTGACACCAAAGAAATCCCGCTCATAGCAATGTCTGATTACACACGGGCAAGGTTCCTGATTGGCACTGCTTTACATACATGCAGGCCGAGTTACAAAGGATCTTCACTTCCCTAATCAATGTGTACACTGTGTCACCATGTTAATTTGTGACTTTAACAGTATAATGCTGTGATAAAATATTCTTTAATATTTTGCTTCTGATAACATGCTAGAGAAATTATTTTTAATAACAGGCTATGGGCCCGGCGTGGTGGCGCAGTGGTTAAGGTCCTCGCCTTGCACGCCCGGGATCCCATATGGGCACCGGTTCTATCCCGGCAGCCCCGCTTCCCTTCCAGCTCCCTGCCTGTGGCCCAGGAAAGCAGTCGAGGACGGCCCAAGGCTTTGGGACCCTGCACCCGCGTGGGAGACCCGGAAGAGGCTCCTGGCTTCAGACCGGCATAGCATCAGCCGTTGCGCTCACTTGGGGAGTGAATCATCGGACGGAATCATCTTTGTCTCTCCTCTCTGTATATACGCCTTTCCAATAAAAAAAAATAATAATAAAAACAAATCTTAAAAAAAAATAACAGGCTATGATGCCCTGCTAGTTACTAAACCTGCATAAGCAATTTTAGGACTTGCCTAATTTCTTCCACTGCTAAATTATTTTTTCATTCTAAAAACATTCTCATTTTTTTTCTTTGAAGTCAATGAAATTGGTGGCATGTGTACTTACTGCCAAATACAGTATATTTCATCAAGTAACTTTAATGCTCTATTTGTAAGTATAGCATTGATGTTTTATCTTTAGTTTTATGTGACAGTATTATGTTGACATATAAGTTGAGCATCCCTAATCCAAAAAGCCAAAATCCAGTAGACTCAGCTATTTGAAATTGAGCCTTCCACACTCAGTTTTACGTGTTAGAAGCTCTGGAGTTTGGGGTTAAGGATGCTCAAAGCAACCTGTACAAGCATCTCAAAAATATGGCTTAGGCTAATCCTGAAAACTTACAAGCCAACAATAAATTTGCAATTAAAGGTTCTGGGTGATTTCAAAATAAATAAATAAATAAATAAATGGGGTCTCTTGTGGTAACACAGAAGAATAAATACTTGCCTGCCCTCTGGCCTATGGAAAGGTTGAGTTAGTCACACTGCCTCCTAAGTATAATTTTAGTAAGACTGGCAGAGGAAACCTCCTTTTCTGACAAAACTCTAAGTTTTCCTTCAGCAGTTTCACGACTGTCCTTATATTGGGGAAGAAGGGTACAAAGGAAGGTTTTCAAAGAGATAAATGCAAACCATTCATCAAAATAACCTATACCGAGAAAGGTAAGACTCATCTAAAACACATTGCCAAGACTCTAAAAAGGGAAGCATCACAGCCTAAAACAATCTAATAGCTATAAAAGATGACAAAATGTAAAGCCTTTTTAAAATGTATATATATTTATTTGTTCATTAACCTTCACCTTAGAAAATAAAACTACCACCAACAGGACAAACATTTCCACCTTTAAAGTATGATGATGAATGACCGGGCATTCTTCAGATCTGCCTGCGGTTATTTCAATAGGTTCATTTTCGTTTGCACAAAATGGCTCATGGTTTTATAGCCTCGATGCCCAAGTTTGGTCAGGGCGAATTTCCAGGCAGAACAGGGAGACTCATCACTCTCACCTGGAATTCAACCCGCTGGAGAACTACCATCTGTCAGGGCCGGTCTAGAAAGGAGCTGGACCACACAACCTGAGGAGTCTGCCCTCACCAGCAAACTGTGGGTCAGCAATGTTCCCACAGCCATGAACGAGCTAAAACAGGAACTCACAGCAGGTCAGAAGGCCACGGGCCAGGCAAGCAGCCGTAACAGGACCAGACCAGGGAGACGTACCCACAGCACAGGGAGATGCAAGCCTGCACCTCCAGAGTCCGGGGCCACTGGCTGCTCACAAAGAGGTAAGATGAGTTAAGTACCCATCATCCGGCTTATCTAACTGGTCCTGACGCTCAGCAGAAGCCAGCTCAGAGGACATGAGAACAAAGCTGTAAGTACTGTAGGTGGCTCAGAGTTGGAGGAAACGGGTATGGCTGGTGTCCAGGTAAGAGGATCTGAAAGGCACCAGCCATGAGAACAGGAGGCACTTCTCCCACCATACCAGGAGGACAACACTGACTGGCAGCTGCAATCATTCCCCAAAAAACTGCCAAAGCCAATCAATAACCAATCTATGTTTTACAAGTATCCACCACTGAAGAAGAACCTGAGGGACCTCAGAACCAGGTCTAGTGACAGAGTTCAGGAGTTTTTGGTGTTAAGACGGTGACTTACAATACCATTGTTCATTACCAGGCCCCATCTCCACATTAACAGGCAGTCACATTAACTGCAACTTTGAGTTTACATTATTGGTTCAAGCTCACAACACAATTTCAGTATTTTTCAATCATACTATGTTTACTAACCATTAGAAATTTCAACTGTCAGGGCCAGCACGGTGGCTCAACTGGCTAATCCTCCACCTCCACGCACGACATTTATATGGGCACGTTTGCCCTGGCTGCTCCACTTCCAACCCAGTACCCTGTTTATGACCTGGGAAAGCAGCAGAAGATGACTCAAGTCCTTGGGACTCCCTACACCCACTAGGGAGGCTCAGAAAAAGCTCCTGCTCCTGGCTCCAAATTGAGTCAGCTTCAGCCACTGTGTCCGTTAAATAAATAGATCTTTAAAAAAATTCAATTGTCAAAAAGACAAGTTGAGGTGCCCGTGAGAGTTCATTTCATTTATCACAATGAAAAAGCAGGGATGAAATTCCAACTCATGAATCTGAACAAAAGGAGTAGATTTGGGCATTTTTTGAAAACAGACTTTTGGGGTGGTACTTGGAACAGCAGTTAAGACAATGCTGGCACTCCATACTGCAGTGCCCGGGATGTCGGATTCCAGCTCTGCTCTGGACTCCAGCTTCTTGCCAACAGTACCCCAGGAGGAAGCAGGAAGTAGGTGATGGCTACCCCATCTAGGAGACCTGGCATATGGAGAGTGAAAAAGGATGGTAGGTCTCCGTCGCTCTTTCAAATAAATTTTAAAAATTTCAATTAGAAAACAAGGAAACCTTTTCCCTACATGACATGAAAATGGCAGTTTTTGTTACACCCAACTCAAGAACTGTGAATCATGAAAACTCTATTACAGTATATACACAAACTTTCATATTTCATCTATTTCTATGTGTCTACCTCAGCCAAACTGC